ACGACCAAATCGGGTTCCAACCCAAAAATTCACAAAATTTTTGAGTCTGGTCATGAACATATATACTCAGGTAGCAATCAAACACGACCACTGACCCAGAAGTTCCTGAAGACAAAACATTAGAAGACGAAGTTATGGAATGAATTATGGTCGTGACCAAAGGTTCTAGTGGGGACACCACTAGAAGACCTGAAAGACCAGGAGAGGGACATCTCAGTATGGAGAACATCTACCTATATGGTACTAAGAGTAAAAAGAAACAAACCACTTGATGGCACATAATCTTGGATGGACTCAATCAAGACCAGTAGTGTTGGGGGTACCTTTAGAAGAGCTGAAAGATCAGATGAGGGACATCTCGTTGTGGAGAACATCTACCTATGTGGCAGCTAAGAATCAAAAACAATTTGATGTCACAAATCAAGATTACAAGTACCATTGTCAACTAAAAAAATTAAAATACTCCTTTGGTTGTTTTAGTTGCCAGCAGAAAGGGAGTGTGTGAAAGCAGTGCATTCCTCAAATGCCTTAGATAATCACCTTGGCAGCCCAAAGCTGTCAGCGCACAAGAATATTACTGGAGAGCATGATTGATGACTCTTGTCTATGGAAGTGTCCCATTGGAGAATATACATCCAGGGGGTGGGAGAAGACCAGAGTCAAGGGGGAAATGAATGATGTATTTTAGTGTTGGCTGCACCCAGCTAACGCCAACATGGCCATTCCTAATCAAACATATATTTTTTTTAACTTTGAGAGATGTGGCTGGAGACTTATGATTTGAATAGGGGTGGATGTGTTGGAGCCCTGACACCATAACATGCAAACAGTGAGTAATGAATGTGGAGGTGAAAACCGTGAAAAGCAGACCAATTTAAGAAAAGTGTCCTAAATTGGGGGGGGGGAAGCCACACCTCCTGGGGCCTCCCCCTGAGACGGTTGCACCAGTCTTTCCCCATTCAAAGCCCAACCCATTTCCTAGCAATGAATGAGCACATTAATACTAGAAAAGCTGAAGTAAGAGCCTGCCCGTGGATGGGTGGGGTGTCTTTTCTTGATGCCAAAGCCTTGGCTGAGGATAACACAAGTCCAGTAGTTGATGGGTGGAAAACCCAGGAGTCTGCAAGGCCAGAAATAGAGTAGGGAAAAAAAAAACCTTATAAAGGAATTGTAGGGTGCAGGAACAAAAGTGTAAGTCTATTACAGATGATTAGCCTACAGCAACTGAAAATGTACTAGCAGGCTGAAAGGTTACAACTGTAGGTTTGTGGCTGTGTAGCTACTTGGAGCTGAGTTGATTTCAGAGTAGGTATAGCTTTAAAAGGAGAACGCAGAATCTGCCTGTCAATCCAAAGATTCACAAACTTGGATGAAACCCAAGCCCTTCCCAAGGCTGCCTAGCAACAGTACAGGTACCTCCTTGACAACCACAATTGAGCCCAAAGTGTCAATAAGCAAGGCAATTGTTAAGTGAGTTTTGTTTTGCTCCATTTTACAACCTTACCGCAGGCTGTTAAGTTAGTAACAAGGTTGTTAAATGAATCTGGCTTCCCTATTGACTTTGCTTTTCAGAAGGTCACAAAAGCTGGCACGCCAGTTGCCAGCCCTCTGAATTTTGATCACGTGACTAAGGGGATGCTGCAAGTGTGTGAAAAACAGTCATAAGTCACCTTTTAGGGGCCCTTGTTACTTTGGCCACTAAATAAATAGCTTTAAGTCAAGGACTATCTGAAATGTTTACTAACTAGAACAGGGGTGGGCAACCTTTTTGGCTCGGGGGCCTCATTGACTTTTAAAATTTGACAGACGGGCCGCCACCTGGTGTCGAAATGCCTGTCATTACAAGTCAAAATCAAATGAATGCAATCATTCAATCATTCACATCAAACCTTAATTTTGTGCCAATCTTCGGCGGGCCGGATTAAAAAGACCAACGGGCCGGATGTGGCCCGCGGGCCGTAGTTTGCCCACCCCTGAACTAGAATGTATATTAAATATGCAGAGTATACTGTACATCAGGTATTAGAGATACTTTTGTAATTATACTTAGGTTTCAACAGGTGGCGCTCTGTTGCTGACCATGTCTAGGCTACAGAAATTAAGTAGGGTCAGGCCAGTTTAACACTTGGATGGGAGACTCTCAAGCCAGTAGACCAGCAAGATAAGAAAACCAGAAAAAGCAATAGCAAATTGTTTCTATATTGATCACAGATATGTCCAGCTAACCTCAAGTTTGGAGGATTTACTAAATCACGTCACATTCTTTTTATCAAGTGTCTAGATGGCTTTGCTGGTAGGGTTTGGCTTTGCTTGTCAGAAGGTCACAAAAGATGATCAAATGACCACCACACTGCAGCCCTCATAATATGAACCAATTGCCAAGCGTCCAAACTTAGATCATGTGGGGATGCTGCAACGGTCATTAACTGTGAAAAATGGTCACTTCAGTCATTGAACAAAGGTTTGTAAGTCAAGGACTGCCTATATAGGAAGATACACTCATAGTGTTTGCATTGTTGCATTCTGGAGCAGATGTAGCTTTGGATGGGCCTCAAAAACAGCCCCATGCAACTTATTTTGCAACAGTCCACATGGAACAGTTGAGGGACTCCTAGAACCATCTGGACAATGGCATCCCTTGGCCAATGCTGCTTTTCAGCTTTGGATAGAAGCTGTAAGTCCAGGAGGACCTCCAAATTAAACACTAATTTGCTTTTTTCCTGGAAATGCTACTTCATTCAGAACAAAAGATTCTGAGGTTGTGGGGGAACATGGAACACACACCCAATTGGTTATATCAAAGTTGAGTTTAAACCTGTTCCTCCTCATCCAGACCTGAACAGCCTCCAGGCGCTTGTACAAGACCTCAATGGTATCACTCGGCCACTGTGGCCAAAGCGTACAGCAAGGAATCATCCTACCGATGGCACTTGACCCCGTGTTTGATGGTTGACCCTGTCCAACAGATTCATGTCGATGGTAAACAAGACATATGAGAATGTGAAGCCCTGAGGCATCTACAAACCAGGAGCTTCACGAAGGACTTCAACCCATCTGTCAACAGACTAGAACTGGTTGTGGAGAACCACCAGCACAGTCTGAGGCCCTCACTGATCTTCACAGATGATCCATGTTTAATTTTTTTATACTTACTTCCTCTTAGGGGGGGCCTGGAACCCCCACAGAGTGCGTTCTCGGGTGGCGGATTGGGGGCCCCTACCAAGTATGGCTTTTACGCTGTAATGGTGAGTTGGGGGGGATCAAATACCTCCCATGGACCAAGAGGCCTGATGAGTGACAGCTGGCTCATCAGTATCAACTGAAGACAGAGACCACATCATTGATCAGAAGTTTAGCACACTGTGTGG